AATGATTCTTTTGTTTTCAATTTCATTGATCTCTGATTTAATTTTGGATATTTCTTTTCTTCTGCTGGGTTTAGACTTAGATTGTTCTTCTTTTTCCAATTTCATAAGATGGCTTGTGAGTTTGTTGATGCACTCTCTTTCTGTTTTTCGAATGTAGGCATCTAAAGCGATAATTTTTCCTCTCAGAACTGCTTTTGCAGTATCCCACAGGTTTTGGTAGCTTGTGTCTTCATTGTTGTTATGGTTAAGGAAGTTAATGATTTCCTCTTTTATTTCTTCTTCACCCAACTGTCATTCAACAGAAGGTTGTTTAATTTCCATACCTTTTTATGGGGTTGAACATTTTTGTTGGAGTTGAGTTCCACCTTTAGTGCCTTGTGGTCTGAGAAGATACAAGATAAAATTTCAGTTCTTTTGATTCTGTTGAGGTTTGTTTTGTGTCCTAGGATATGATCAATTTTGGAGAATGTTCCATCGGGTGATGAGAAGAATATATATTTTTTATCTTTGGGATGGAGTGCTCCATATTCGTCAATCAAGCACAGTTGCTCTAGGGTCTCATTTAAGTCCCTTATATCTTTGTTTAATTTCTGTTTAGAGGATCTGTCCAGTTCTGTAAGAGGAGTATTAAAGTCCCCTGTTACTATGGTATGATAGGATATCATATTGCTCAGACTGAGTAATGTCTGTTTCAAGAATCTGGGAGCATTTAAATTGGGTGCATAAATATTTAGAATTGAAATGTCTTCTTGTATTTTTCCCTTGATCAATATAAAGTGACCATCTTTGTCTTTTTGACTGTAGTTGCTTTGAATCCACATGTATCTGAAAATAAGATTGCCACTCTTCTCTTCTTGTGAATTCCATTTGCCTGAAAAATTGTCTTCCAATCCTTAACTCGGAGTTTTATTTTGTCTTTTGAGGCTAGGGGTGTTTCTTGCAGACAGCAAATGGATGGCTTGTGTTTTTTAATCTAGTCAGCTAATCTATGCTTCTTCAGTGGGGAATTCAAGCCATTAACATTTATTGAGATAATTGATAAGTGTGCTAGTGTTCTATTAATCTTATTTTGTGAGAGTCCATTGCTTAGTTTTATTTTTTGCATCATTGTGGAAGTTAGGTTCTGTCCTTTAATTTCTGAGTTCTTACTTTGCTGTTGATCCATTGTGATGGTCAGTGTATAGAACAGGTTGAAGTGTTTCCTGTAGAGTTGGTCTTCTGGCAAATATCCTCAATGTTTGTATATCAGTAAATGATTTGATTTCTCTGTCAATTATAAAGCTTAGCAGGATATAGAATTCTGGGCTGGAGATTGTTCTGTTTAAGTAAATTTAAGGTAGATGACCGTTGTCTTCTGGCTTGGCAAGTTTCATTAGAGAAGTCTGCAGTCACCCTGATGGATTTGCCTCTGTAGGTCAACTGGCACTTACTCCTGGCAGCTTGTAGAATCTTTTCTTTTGTCTTGACTTTGGACAGGTTCATCACAATGTGTCTTGGAGAAGCTCTGTTAGAGTTGAGGCAACCTGGGGTCCGATATCCCTCTGAAAGGAGTGTGTCAGAATCTTTGGTGATATTTGGGAAATTTTCATTTATAATATTCTGAAGTATGGCTTTCTTTCCCCTGGGGCATTCTTCTTTCCCTTCTGGGATACCTATAACTCGTATGTTTAAACACTTCATAATGTCCCATAATTCTGTCAGTGAACGTTCTGCTTTCTCTCTCTTCTTTTCTGCCTCTTTAACTATCTGAGTTATCTCAAGAGCTTTGTCCTCTACCTCTGAGATTCTTTCTTCTGCATGGTCTAATCTGTTGATACTTTCTTTTTTTTCATGGTCCTTCATTGAAGTTTTTTTTTTTTTTTTCTTAAATCATCACTGTATACATTAATGCAGTCATGGGGTACAATGTGCTGATTGTATATACAATTTGAAATATTTTCATCAAACTGGTTAACAGCCTTCACGGCATTCTCTTAGTTATTGTGTTAAGACATTTATATTCTACATTTAGTAAGTTTCACATGTGCCCTTGTAAGATGCACCATAGGTGTGGTCCCACCAATTACCCTCCCTTCTCCCATCTTCCTCCCTCCCCTGTTGATGCTTTGTATTGCATCTTTAAGTTCCTTAATTGATTGCTTCCCTTCCTTCAGCTCTGCTGTATCCTTTCTGTATTCTTCATATTGTTCATTTCTTCTTATTTGATTCTGTTTTTGGATTTCCTTTTGGTTATTTTCCACTTTATCAGTAGTTTTCTTCATTGTTTCCATCATTTCCTTCATTGTTTTCATGATCTGTATTCTAAATTCCCTTTCTGTCATTTGTAACATTTCTATATAGGTGGAATCCTCTGCAGTAGCTACCTCACAGTCCCTTGGGGGGGTTGCTCTGGACTGGTTTTTCAAGTTGCCAGGATTTTTCTGCTGGTTCTTCCTCATAAGTGATTTATCTGCTTCCTTACCCTAATTTTCCTTTCACTTCCCCTTGCTCTTTAAGTTACCATGCCTCTGGACTAGGGTTTCCATGAGTCCAGTTTTCCACTGCTTTTGTCCTCCTTATGGAGTTCAGAAGTCCCTTGCTGACTCCCTGTGTTTCCAAAAGGATGTTTCTGTTTCTAATCCAAATTGTAGTTTTTTGTTTTTTTTTTTTGTAGAGACAGAGTCTCAGTTTATCGCCCTTGGTAGAGTGCTGTGGCATCACACAGCAATTGTAGTGTTTTTTTTATGACTTTGAGTCATATCCTGGGATTTGTTTTTATTCAGATGTGGGGCTAGAACATAGTTATTAACATTTATTGATATAAATTTTCATTTTTCCCCCTAAAATAATAAAATTCTTCCAGAAGGAAAATACCTGATTTATTCTATTTTTTCTTTTTTTTTTTTTTGAGACAGCGCCTCAAGCTATCCCCCTGGGTAGAGTGCCGTGGTATTACAGCTCACAGCAACCTCCAACTCCTGGGCTCAAGCAAGTCCCCTGCCTCCGCCTCCCAAGTAGCTGGGACCACAGGCGCCCGCCACAACGCCCGGCTATTTTTCGGTTGCAGCCGTCATTGCTGTTTGGCGGGTCCGGGCTGGGGGTTCTAACCCACCACCTTAGGTGTACGTGGCTGGCGCCTTAGCCGGTTGAGCTATAGGCGCTGAGCCTATTCTATTTTTTCTTAAGAGACTAGAAATATCATCTCCTATGAAATGACGCTATGCAACTAAAATTAATGTAGGGAAAGTTTAATACCTTGATAAAAAGTAGTGTTTTTGTCATGTGTTTTCTTAACAGACTTTCACTAATCTCTAATTGTCATTTCAGATTCCTATTAGCCTATCCAATGTAGGCTTTGTACCTCTTTATGGTGGCGATCAGACTCAGAAAATTCTTGCTCTTTTTGCACCTGAGGATTCACTGACAGGTCTCTGTTTTTGCTTAATATTCATTAAATAGGGGACTTTTTCTCCAGACTGGTAGAACTTTATTAAAAAGGTAGTTTTATGAAGGAAGTTGTTATTTTAAAACTTGCTTCAAATTGTAATTTTACAAAAATATAATTATTTATTACTCATAATTAAGTGTTTAATGGATGGAATAAAATAAAATAAAAATCGTGTAGATGAGGCCACAATGTATTATAAAGTATTTAACAGTGTCTGTGTAAACTGTACCAGATATTAATAGTAATATTGTATACTTTAAAATGTAAATTCTAATGATTATCTATTCTTTTTTAGCTGTGGCTCTGTACCTTGCTGATCAGTGGTGGGCTATTGATGATATTGTGAAAACATCTGCTCCTTCTAGAGAGGGGCTTAAGCAGGTAACAAGATCCTGTAATTTTGGAAGTGTTTCCTATGAACAGTGATAGTTTTTGAAGTTACTGGGTTCTGTCCCATTTTAATATAATCAGGTTAAATTAAACCCCTAGAGTTTTATTCTTTTTTTTTTTTTTTTGGACAGAGCCTCAAGCTGTCCCCCTGGGTAGAGTGCCGTGGCATTACAGCTCACAGCAACCTCCAACTCCTGGGCTCAAGCGAGTCTCCTGCCTCCGCCTCCCAAGTAGCTGGGACCACAGGCGCCCGCCACAACGCCCGGCTATTTTTTGGTTGCAGCCGTCATTGTTGTTTGGCGGGTCCGGGCTGGGGATTCGAACCCGCCACGTTAGGTGTACGTGGCTGGCGCCTTAGCCGGTTGAGCTATAGGCGCCGAGCCGAGTTTTATTCTTTTGAGGAAACTGACACTCAGTTTGGGCTTCCTCTATTTTATGTGATTCTAACCATCTCTGAGAATTAGGTGAGGTGGAATGAATACATCTGGATTAGTTGACTGTGGCTACATTTATACACTTCAGCTTCTGATTTTCTTATTGAATAAAGGAAAAGCTAGTTTTCTTAGTGTGGTTGGTTAACTGCTTCTCTGGGAGAGACTGGCCAGGAAGCTTGTTTTTCAGTAGGGCCCCCTCTGGTGGTCTGCACAGTGTTCTGAACAGTGCAGGAGAGAAGATGCTTCCAACCTCTGCAACAGTGGTTCTCAACCTTCCTAATGCCTGGGCTCTTTAATATAGTTCCTGTGGGGGCGGCGCCTATGGCTCAGTGGATGGGGTTCCGGCCCCATATGCTGAGGGTGGCAGGTTTGAGCCTGACCCTGCCAGACTGCAACAAAGAAATAGCCGGCCGTTGTGGCAGGCGCCCATAATCCCAGCTACTTGGGAGGCTGAGGCAAGAGAATTGCCTAAGCCCAGGAGTTAGAGGTTGCTGTGAGCTGGGTAATGCCATGGCACTCTACCAAGGGCAATAAAATAGGACTCTGTCTCTACCAAAAAAAAAAAAAAGGCACAGAAAAATACAATTCCTTTGGGTCGCGACCCACAGGTTGAGAACCACTGCTCTACAGGGTTGTGGTAGAAGCTGGCTGACTGAGAAGTGTCACAGGAGGGAAGCTGATTTTCATGGTGGAGGTGAGAGGGTTTAAGAGACATCTCTATTACTTGGGTTATTAGAGAATAAGTAGGACAGGATGGAGGGAACATTCAACATTGTAAACTGTTTGAAGAGGCAGGACAGAATAAAATAGTGATGGCATCTTTGGTGGCTATAGGTGGGTGATTTCCATAAAAGTAGAAGGACAGGCTTGGTGCCTGTGGCTCATGTGGCTAAGGTGCCAGCCACATACACCTGAGGTGGTGGGTTTGAATCCAGCCCCAGCCTGCCAAACAACAATGACGGCT